GTTTCTCAAAGGGAGAAGGTTTTGGGCAAGGATACTCTTGAAAAAATGTTCCACTGCTGCAAGGTCTTCTGAGACGCGCTCCCTTGCTGCAAGCAGAATAATCTAACAAAATTGCATCTCTTTTGTTCCATTGTGACTACTGTTTATGTGTGTGTGTGTGTGTTTAAACAGGGCCATTCATTAGGCCAAATGTTGGGCTGTCATAGTCCCCTTTGTGCAGTATATGTGAAAGTGTGTCTTTAAGCCACATGCTCATCCATTTTATTTTTGAAAGCCTAGTTTCCAGTTAACCTACAGGGTTGTTTGTGTGAATCGGTCAGCAAGTGATAATATTGTAAGGGCCAATTTCTTCAACCTAGGCTGTGTCCCAGTTGCCCCATCTAACCTCCCTGCTTCTAATCATGCGGGTGGCACAATTTAATTAGACTTATGACAAGGCAAACTGGAAAAACCCTATGTTAAAATCAGGGGATTTTTTTTTTTTTAAGAATGCAAAAACTTTGTTTTATAGAGTTGGTGAAATATTTACTAGTGCTCTTATATAGGCTGTTCTCTTTAACTGGAACCTCTAAAGTCTGAATGGTAAACAGAATCTGGTTTCTGAATTTACGATTCCAAAGAAAGGCGTGGAAGATATATAGAAAAGAGAAAAGAGAAGATGGTTATTTGGAGTTCATTGGCAGTATTTGTTGAAAACAACATAAACTAAAATACTTCCCTACCTACATCAGCGCATGTCAGCCATAGAAGAGAACCGTGATCTAAAGAAAATGCAGTTTTCCTTCAAATCTGGCTATCTCTGGCTCTAGCAACGCTTGATGGAACTTTCCAAAGCCTGCTAAATATCTCAATATTTATGTTGTTTATTTTATCAGTAGGCAATCTCCTTCCTTGATCCTTGCTGGCACCACAAGCACACCATGTCCTGTATTTTTTAAATATTCATCTACATCTCATATCTAAATCTCACCCCCCCCATTTTTTTTTGGCTCCGTCCGTCTCTTTCAGCCTTCATTTCTGTGACTTCACTTTTACTGACAATTTAAAAACGCAACGATTATGCAATGTCTGCTCTGCTTTCTTCACGCTGCCTTAAGATATTGCTTAATTAAAAATTACTTTGAGGTAGCTTTTTTTTTTTTTTAACCAACGCCACCGCTTACTTTAACTAAAAAATTATGGTGTTTATTTGTGGGATCTTTCATCGCGATTCGTGATTCTTGTTTTTGATGGTCAAAAGTGTACTGAAATATTTCAGACGACAACCTGCCTTTCCGCTGCATTGGCTTCTTCTCAGTTGAAGGCAAGTCTGGATCGGCCTTGCTGAAGGCCGGTCTTGCGTCAACTTGATTCCCTTCAGTGACCATAGTTGTTGAGGTACTGGACTATGTGCAGATAGTCCTGGACTTACAACCACAAGTGAGCGAGCCCAAAATTTCTGTTGCTAAGGGAGACATTTGTGAAGTGAGTTTTGCCCCATTTTATGAACTTTCTTGCCACAGTCGTTAAGTGAATCACTGCAGTTATGTTAGGAACACGGTTGTTAAGTGGATCCAGCTTCCCCCATTGATGTTGCTTGTCAGGAGGTGGCAAAAGGGGATCACATGACCCCTGGGACACTGCGACTGTCGTAAATATGAGTCAGTTGCCAAGCGCCTGAATTTTGATTTACGTGACCGTGGGGGATGCTGCAGCAGTCGTAAGGGTGAAAAAACGGGCATCGGTCCCCGTTTTCAGTGCCGTAGTAGCTTTGAACAGCCACCAAATGAACTGTTGTAAATTGAGGACTATCTGTATGGTTAGACCCAGGTACTAATGATCCTTTAGATATAGATGCTCAGCCCAAGTGCCTGGGTGTTCTGGTGTGAAAGTGTTGGACTAGAAGAGACCTAAATTCAAGTCCTCATTCAACTGAAGAAGCTTTCTAGATGACATTGGACCCATCACGTAGTCTTAGGCCACCTTCTTTCATAGGAATGATGAAGATGCAATAGAGGAAATCACAAGCTCCTGGAGAAAAAGGTAGGATATTACAGGTTCTGGAACTTTAATAATAATAATAATAAAGTTGGAAGGGACCTTGGAGGTCATCTAATCCAACCCCCTGCTCAGGCAGGAAACCCTATACCATTTCGGACAAATGGCTGTCCAGTCTCTTCTTAAAAACTTCCAGTGTTGGAGCATTCACCGCTTCTGGAGGCAGGTTGTTCCATTGGTTAATTGTTCTAACTGTCAGGAAGTTTCTCCTTAGTTCTAGGTTGCTTCTTTCCTTGATTAATTTTAAGACAGGTATGGAGAACCTCTACCCCAGAAGACAAGTGAATTGCAGGTCCCAGGAACCTAGTCCAAGATGATTAATTGCATCTCCAAATAGTGAGAACTATAGAGGTTTTTCTATGGCCCACTCTGTTTAAAATCTAACTTGATTCCCCTTTTCACATGCCCGTTTGTCTCTCCCAATCTCTTTTGTGTTGTGTGATTTAAAGTTGGCTGGCAATGGACTGTATCCCTTGCTATTACCTCTCAAGAAGCTAAAGATCAAGTTAAAATGTAATAAATATATATATTTATTACAATACAAACCAAGAAAACACTTGTTACAGGAGCCTTATGTTTTTCTTTCTCATTCCATACAACCTTTATAAACTATTTGGCACAACCCAAACAAATGGACAATGATCAAAATAGCAGAAGCGTTGCACCAACTCTAGCTTGGTGGCACGCAAACGTCTCAATCGTTAATCTGGGTTGCAATTAAGATGGTGGGTAGAAAGCCTTTGCCAACTGAGCATCCGCATTCATCTCAAGTCTTTCTCTGAGATAATTTGGAAAGCTCTTGAAGTTGAGTAATATTTATTTACACATACATGATTTGAACAGAGGAGGGGCACAAAAGTACACGTGACAGCTGACAATGTCCTGTTGGTATCAAAGGTGGTGCTCTCTGAGCTGGGTGGTTTTCTTGCAGACGTTTCATTATCCAACTAGGCAACATCATCAGTGCTAGAAGAGAGTGGAATTTGCAAGGAGGAGGAGGACTGTGGAGTCCTTGGTGCTCTCTGAGGTGGGTGGTTTTCTTGCAGACGTTTCATTACCCAACTAGGTAACAGCATCAGTGCTGTTGATGTTACCTGGTTTGGGTCACGAAATGTCTGCAAGAAAACCACTCAACTCAGAGAGCACCAAGGACCCCTCACTTCAACCCTGAGCTACAAATATTCTCCTTTATTAGTATCCAAGGTGGGCAGCATCCCAGATAGACTGCAAATTTTATATTCACTCTCCATTTTCCTCTCCGACTTTCTCCCCATCTTCTATTTCTTTTACTGCTTCTTTTCATAAATGATCCCTTTTGGCTCCCTGCCACTGGGCAGTGGGCTGTGGAATTCTGATAAGTCATCTTTGACCAAGCATCCTTGACTAATTAATGCCAGAATATCACAGCCTGTCAACAATTGTGCTAAAACCTGTGCTCAGCATGATAGAACGGACAACCTTTTTTCAGTGTGGAGTGCAAGGAAACGGCTTGTTTTGGATTGTTTTCCCCTTTTCCAGCTGGAAATCACGTGGGTCAGGATAATGACCCACCCTCTCTCCCTCCCTCCCTCCCTCCCTTCCAAAAGCTTGCCCTGACTCTTTTTTTTTTGGCTCAGAAATGTGTAGGAAATTACATCACCAACGTTTAGGCATTTTCACCAGACCTCAGGCATGTGACTTCAGGAGATTCCAGGGGTTGCAATAAATAAATAACTATAGGAGGAGGCATTGGGAAGTTGGCCAACCCCATCTTCTTGCAGAAATCTGATTGGCAGTCTAAAACAATGACACTTAAAGAGATAATGGCCTGCAGCTCCTTTTCCTGTGCAGGAAACCATTTCTGCTAACCACTATTTGCAAAATAAATGTTTTCATGTCTTTTTCTTTTCTTTTCTTATCTTCCTCCTTGTCACTAGACTCTTGAAACCTGCCCAGGCATAGTATAACCTTTGACTGTGGCTGCTATTACTGTTAATGACAAACTTTTATGATCTCTTAGGTTTTCTCGTTTTTGATTTGATGATTCCATCAAGTAATTTAGGAACCAGGTCAGACGTCAGTTCTTTCTTCTGTTCGGCTCAGGTCAGGTTGACCCAAAGTAGCTGCCTCCAGCATGAACTGGCAGGTCTTAAAATGCAACAGTATGATGCAGATTCATTTTTGGGAGTTGCATCTTGAAACCAGCATAAACCTGGTTGAATTATTTTTTGGCTTGGCCTGGGTAAATCTAACTCAAGATGAACGTCTCAAATTGGTGGGATAGACCTTCCCACTGATAGCTAAGTGGTGGATGTCCCAAAGTTGCTTTTTCAAAAGGCAACTTTTTTTTTTCCTTGAAGGCGTTTCGCTTCTCATCCAAGAAGCTTCTTCCGAACTGAACTTTCGCCACTTCAGAAGCTTCTTGGATGAGATGCGGAACATCTTCAAGGAAAAACAAAGAAAGTGCAAACGTTGCCTTTTGAAAAAGAACTTTTGGGACAACCATGACCTGGATGACAGAGAATCTCCACAAACACTAAGAGGTGGGTAGATCAAGCAAATGAAGAAGCTCCATTCAAAGAATCTGGTGGAAATAGTTTGTCTCAATAAACACTCCTGTGTAGGGTTGAACCAAATAGTTTCTCCATTTCCCAGACACGTCATTTTGGACAATGGAGATTTCATCCAAAAAATAAATAGTTTGGATTAATAATTCTCAACTTATCCCTAACCCTAACAAAACTTACAGACTTTACTCCATAAATCTTCATACGATTCTGAGATCCTGAACATAGGATCATCTGCCAAAGCAACAGAGATTTTTGGATTTTGCTGGGTCTCTGATTAGGAAGGAAGATTCCATGTAATTAGAATATATATGTACATAGAATCATTCACATTCTTCCCCTAGAGTTCTTATGAGATTTCAGGTGAATATGATTTTATTTTTCTTTTATAAACTCCTGAGCAAAATCATGGGGGGAAAAAGAATATAGTGTACATATAATATGTGTTGATTGGATTAGGTCAACAAAAGATCAGAGAAATTAGATATAAATCTTTGGAAAAAGGAAGAGTTTTACAGCAGTGCCCCAAAACACAAAATACAATTCCAGAAAAAGCTAATCTCTATCTCAAAACAAACAAACAAACCCTGAAGGCATTATCACGAGATGTTAGCTATTATACTGTTAAAACATCTTTCTTCTGTACCACCCTAAATCTACACATATTCATATATACCTCTACATCTGTCTATTATTTATTGGTTTCCTAGGTTGCATAATTAGCTGAATAGCTTATCAAATAAAGGGCACGAATCTTCAAAAATTGTGACGGACTATCAACTTCCATTTTTGACGGGTGCATGGATTTCTTGTTCAGCTTATGACCTGTTTTTGTCTTTCTGGTGTTTGGAGCGCAGAAGGCAAGACGTGGGCCCCCATTAATTTGTCCATGAAAAAGTCATAAAACCAGAGAGGAGAATAACAGAACATGAGAAGGAATGTGTAGCTATTCTTGCCTGGAGTGTATAAACCTTTTGGATGCTCAGCCAGCAAAGCATGTAGAACATCAGAGAACACGGGCGAGAAATCTGATGAGCAAATCGAAGTCATCTGACTGAGGAACATCCTCAGTTTATGGATGTAATCCTCACCATAATCTTTCTTCACATCTGGAGCTAGGCTCTCCAGCAGCCTCTGATCTTCCTTTTTCCAGTCTTCAGGATTTCCCCCAATTGCTAGAAAAGCAACACATTCATTTTTGGAATGCCTAGCCTCTTTGAAGTTATTCCTATAAAAGACTCCCAACGGATAGTTAAGACCGCAGAAAGAACAATTGCAACCAGGCTGCCTTCCAGGGAAGACCTGTATATTGTACAGGTCAGAAGGAGGGCTGAGAAAATATCTACACACCCCTCACATCCCAGACATAAACTGCTTCAATTCCTCCCCTTAAGACGGCACTCTAGGTCAGACATGTTAAACACAAGGCCTGGGGGCCCGATGCGGCCCGCGATGTGGTTTCATGTGGCCCGTGAAGCCATCCTGGAATCAGTGAGGGAACGGCCCCCGCTGCCTTGGCTCTGGCCCAGGCCGGCCGGGAGCCAATGTACAATTTTGTGGTGGCCATCTATGCTGAAACAAATTCAGTCTTAGCTCCACAAGGCCGTCCAGAAACAGCGAGGAACCAGCCCCTGCTGCGTCGGCCCCGCCCCCTGGGTGCATGCTGGGGAGGGGTCACCCTTTGTGAGGAATGAAGAAATGGACCATGCCTTGGCGCTTGCCCCGGTCCCACCCCCTTCTGCCAGAGACCCTCAGATCTGTCCCACTCCTGCCCAGGCCCCCACAGGCACCCTTGACGCAAATGATGTAGAGCTGGCCATGCCCACCCAGTAGGCCATACCCACTCCATCCATGCCCACCCAGTAGGCTGCACCCACCCGGCCCCCCGAGGGCAACCGCAATGGTGATGCGGCCCTCAATGAAATTGTGTTTGACACCCTTGCTCTAGGGCATTGCATGCCAAACAACAAGACATGGACAGTTTTTCCCCTCAGGCCATTTCTCTGCTGAACACTTCATTCTCACAGTACTGCCTAATCTCTCTCCCTCTCTATATATATTGTATTATTATTATTATTATTATTATTATCCTTGTTATTGTCTTTTTTACTACCTTCTCTTATTGGTATTATGATGATGATGATTCTGTGGCTTTGCATGTATGCTGAGAGCTTCTGCACCAGAGACAAATTCCTTGTGTGTCTAATCACACTTGGGCAAATAAAGTATTCTAATTCTAAATCCGATAAAGAAAAATAGAGAGGAGGAGATGGCAGGAAAACCTACTCCGTTCAGGCTTCTTCCACAGGTTGGATTGGGATATATTGGTGAAGAAGAATTCTGGGGCGGGGGGATCAAATTAAAAGCCCCTAAACCATCTTCCCGTGGAAAGCAAAGCATTGCCTCAGCTACATGATGTCAAAATTAGACAGCCAGCCTCTGTATAAAAGTACCTTCCAGGAAACTCATCAGAGAAAGCTCCCAGAAGTGGTATTTATGAATCCGAAAAGAGTGGCCGTAGACCTGAACTAGGCAAGAATAAATCATTAAAGTCTTCCCTTGGAAAAAGACAGTTTGCAAGTTCTTAGAAAGAATGCGCTTTGCATCTTAGGGCTGAGACAAACTGAATCTCGGATCTTAAAAAAGCAACAAACGGGCTAACCTTTGCTAGGGCTGAAACGGGACTGACGTTCAGTTTCTGATGTTGGGTTGTGAACCCTGGTTCCTCTGGAAGTGTCTTTTTCTTGTGAGTTTGGAGAAAGATGGATGGACAACTCATGACTCACGTGTTTTGACGCCTGATGGATGGAGAACTTACATGTTTTGAAGCCTGATGGGTGAAGAACGGCAACTTTGATGCCCCACTTGGACAGCTCCTGCCTCATAACCCCGGAAAACATGGAGAGGGCTGCCTTAGAGGCACCGTAAGCAGCAAACAATGGCATTGGGATTCCTCCTGTGAGAGAAATCAAAACAGTGACTCACTGAAGGAGAACTAAAAGCTTAAGGAAAAGCTAAACGCTAAGCCGAAGTTAAATACAAAATTCTTAGCAGCAAACAAGTTAAAGGTCTAAGTTCTTGCTGGCTCAATATAGTTCTGAAATGCTTCTCTCTCTTTTTTTTCCCCCCTCTCCTCCTTCTTTTCCTTAAAGCAGGGGTCCTCAACCTTGGCGACTTTAAGACTTGTGGACTTCAACTTCCAGAATTCCTCAGCCAGCTTTGCTGGCTGAGGAATTCTGGGAGTTGAAGTCCACAAGTCTTAAAGTCACCAAGGTTGAGGACCCCTGCCTTAAAAGATATTGGAAAAAGAATATTGCCAGGTTTTAAGTATCCCATGTCTTTAAGAAATTAGTCAGATACTCAGTGTTTTGGACCACCATGGGACTTCTAATATTTCTCCGCTTATAATTTTGATGGTTTGCAATTGTCCATTTATTGTCGTTCCACCTTCAAGGTGGTTTGGAGAACAGGTTGACACCCCTCTTCTTTGTGGCAGCCCCTCAAATATTGGAATACTGCTATCATGTGTCCCCCCCCCAGTCCAAGCTATTTTCCAAGGCGCCTGAAGGCAGGACAAGAAGCAACGGATGGAAACTAATCAAGGAGAGAAGCAACCTAGAACTAAGGAGAAACTTCCTGACAGTTAGAACAATTAACCAGTTGAACAACCTGCCTCCAGAAGTGGTGAATGCTCCAACACTGGAAGTTTTTAAGAAGAGACTGGACAGCCATTTGTCCAAAATGGTGTAGGGTTTATTGCCTGAGCAGCGGGTTGGACTAGATGACCTCCAAGGTCCCTTCCAACTTTATTATTATTTTTGTTATTGTTATTGTTATTACTTTTCTCATAACCATCTTTATTGCTCTTTTCTCCACTCTTTCCAGAGTTTCTGCATCTTTTTTATAATATGGTGACCAAAACTGAATGCTATATTCTAAATGTGGTCTTACTAAGGCTTTGTAAAGTGATACTAGTACTTCACGTGATCTTGATTCCATCCCTCTGTTAATGCAGCCTAGGATTGTGTTGGCGTTTTTGGCTGCTGCTGCACACTGCTGGCTCATATTTAGATGATTGTCATCTAGGACTCCAAGATCCCTCTTATTGTTATTCAGCAAGGTTACACAATTTTTTTTTTTAAAAAAAAAACAAGTTTGCTATTGACTCATTTTTACTCCAATACATCCATCTCAACTGTCTGAAAGGGAATTTGAAACTCTGCTAGCAGGATAAAAAAAATTCTTTAATTCCCAGACAGCCTCAAGCAATTCATGTTCTTCCTGTAAGAAATATTTTTCATAATGCAGGAAATAAGAATATTACATTATATTTCATTGCATTATCCAATCTTCTGGTTGGGACTTTCTGAAGATGGGATTTAATAGAGAAGAAAAAAGATCCCATTTTAATTGATGGATTTGATACCAAGGCTCCATTGTGTTTATTGGAATCCATGGGAAATCGTAAGCAATGTTACGCCAACAAAATGCAATTTTGTACATTCTTTTCATGAATAAGTAAATAACTATGCATGCCTTTCTTTAATACATGGGTTTTGGTTTTGTGGTTTTTGCCTTAGGCAAGCTCCGTTGCATACTCAGAGAAGTACAAATTTCGAAAGACAACACACACACATACAAGCCGGCAAACAAATAGGCCAGTCCACATTTTCCCTGCATTTTTGGCCTTGACCTGGCTATAAATACTTTGAGATTAGCAATGTAATAATGCCCTATCCCTAATGTGCCAAACTAAATCTTTTTGAATGTTAGATAGCTCAATTGTTTAGCATTGACATATCTGCTTTTTCCTGCCGTCTGATCCTTAGATTCGGTGATAAATTTGAAAGCCTCCCACACGGCAGCTGGAAGGGGCCAGAAGAGTGGCCGTTCAGGGAACAGAATCCAACCCAGGTGACGGTCTATAGATTTACAGCCTGCTGGGACACAGGAACATAACTCACCTGCCAGGCTTGAGATGTTAATAATCCTTCCCTTGGACTTTCGGAGTAAGGGTAAGAACATTTTGGATAATTCAACAGGGCCAAAGAAATTGACATCCATGCACTGCTTGTAAGAACTCATGGGGAGCAGTTCTCCGTCAGCTACGAACCCCAGGATTCCCGCATTGTTGATAACAGCCCAGAGCTCTGGCAGGGAGAAAGGAAGAGCCAGCAAGTGAAACAGTCTCAGATCCGTCCCTCCCTCTCTCCCTCCTTCCCTCCATTTTTCCTTCCTCCCTTCCTTCCCTCCCTCCCTCGGTTTTTCCTTTCCCTCCCCCCTCCATTTTTCCTTCCTTCCCTCTCTCCCTCAGTTTTTCCTTTCCCTCCCTTCCTTCCCTCCCTCCCTCTCTCCCTCCCCTCCCTCGATTTTTCCTTTCACTCCCTCCCTTCCTCCATTATTCCTTCCTTCCCTCCCTCCCCTCCCTCAGTTTTTCCTTTTCCTCCCCCCTC